CAGATGCAAAATTCACTGAACGCCATACCACATTCTGTATTGGGATTATCGATGAAGCAAACATATATTTGCTATAATAATCGACGAGATTACATATATTTTGTTTTGAGTAGATTTTAGAGACCATTAGTGAGTCAAATCTATGAGTTATGCTACCCTGTTTTGCCAAATTTGTCGAAAGATAGTGTTTCGATCTGACGATGTCTGTCTTGGCAGGACAGACAAGACAATACGAATGGACCGGGGTTGGAGGACGACCCATTGAAAGTCAACCGTCCTAATTGCACTGCATTATTTATTTGGCCACTATTGGTGTCAATCTCGAGATCCCTTCCACCCAAATTTTTGCACAAAATCGAAAGTTCAATGACATTAACTTAATATAGACAAAGATAGATGAGTAAAAAAGGTAAAAGGATTACTCGATTTGTGACCGATACACTTCATTTGTACACAATTTGACACACATTCTAGCCCCATTCTACTTCGACCCTGCTGCATCTCATGTCGTGCCGGCAGACTCAAGATCTCACGGCCGGCATGTACAAACAAATCCAAGACAAATAGATTGGTGTTATCTCAGAGCGATGAACTCGCTTCACTAGACTCGATTCCCGTCTATCTCCCCTTTTGGCCATCAGATTGTCTGATACCGACGGCACCGTGATGTGCCCCTAGCCTAAACAATTGCATGTGGACTTTGAGACGACCTCGGCCCAGCCCGCAGTCTGCCGCAGGTCAGACACAAGAGCACACCCCTCTGTTGGTCATTCCGGTCAAGTGGTTAGGCTGATCGTCCCGACCGTGCTAGCAACAGACTTTTAGCAGCTCCTCAAAGGGGTCTACTGCAGCCAATAGTAGGGCCTTCAAGTGCCAGCATAACATGTGGATGCATCCACATCTTCACACGACGACTTGGTGAACTGCACTACTGCCAGCGGCTGTATAAGTAGACGCATTGTCACTTCAACCTTTTCACGTCGACATGGCAACCCTGTAGGCAACACCGATTGTAACTGCTGGCGGCATTGTTCTGGCAGCAAAGATGGTGCCTCAACAAACTTTAACTCACGCTTTGCAGGTGGTACACTCAAGACCATGTCTACGAGGCGCTGCGAAACCGTAATAAGCAGAACCAACAAAAGAAAGGTCGTGTCAAGGCAGTCAGGGCCAGCAGATGCCTTAGCGACTGAGAGAGACTGGGGCAACATAAAAAATGTCTATCGCCGGCCGCCTGTCGTCATGCCATTTGATTTCAGCCCACGGAGTAGTGCAACTGCGGGGAAAACTGTGCCTTACTTTTCATCTGTGAGGCAACTATGGCCCAACTAAATCATATCTTTCTTTCGTCATCAGCCTTTTTTAGCGTATGAGTAGTGCGTATAATTCAAAGCTACATGTGAAACTTGTATAAGAACATCAGCTACATTCAGTCACGTAAGGTTGTGTTAGGGACGGATTGTTTAGTTTTCTACAGTGGACTCAGTAGATGGCCTCATAATGCCGTTCCATTTCACTAAGCCCTACCCTCAAAAGGTCTACGGTTTAGCTTTCGCCTGGGTCTCATCAGTCCCCCTAACGGTACTCGAACTCGGATTGCCTCACCACGCAGTCAAGGGCGCCTTTGAGTCACAGAGCATGTGTAGCCCTCAATACCAGGCACCTTCTGATTTAAAATTTTACTGTGTGATTATTTTCGTTGATACACGCAACAGCACTACTATATAAATAGATAGTAGGCTTTTAAACTATCACTAGGTTTTGAAAAATAAATTTAGTTACATTAGGTCTTATTCTGAATCTGATGTATACCCCCTGTGCACATAGTAATGTTGTCGAGTATAATGGCAGATACAAGTTTGCCTAAACGGCAACAATCTCATGGCAAGAATGTGAAATGGAAGAGATATGGGTTTCCTTCAAGGCCACATATACTCTGTGACTGGCATTGTGAAGCCCAGTACGCATTTCAATGTGCAAAATTAAACTTCCAATCTAACATCACTTTAAGCAACCTTTTTAGTACTCAGCTTGTTCGAAGCTATTCGGAATCTGTTCCTGGCCAAGCTGCATCATTTTTTTCGTTTAATAGTA